ACTCTAACCCGACTCTGACCCGATTTGGACCCTCGATGGAAACGTAGTCACTGACTATATTCAGGATGATAACCAGTACGCTCGCGTTACGACGCGGGAATTACCAAATTTGCGACAGATGGGCTCTATCTTTATAGTGTTGCGTTTACCGTCCACGGTCTAGGGATTTTAGGACGTGGGTAAGTTAACCCGTGGAGCGCTGAGCGCTCTGCTCGCGGTGTGTAGAAATTATTCGAAACAGATTTAAGATGGAAAACAACTAAGTCCAACTATTTATTCAGATAATTGTCAAAATACTTTTACAAGAGCGAACTGGAGCGTATGAAATGCAAAATTAGTCTGATCGTTCTGCGCTTGGCGGAGGAGATCTTTGGGTGATGCAGATCGATGCCCCTTCCTCGCTGGATCCTGGATCCTTCCTCAGGATCATCCCTTGTCCAATGGTGGAGGAGTCCACCCCCGTCCGATGTGGGCCCCTTCTCCCGCCTGTGGTCCACCTTCAGCCGCGTGGTGGTGGAGGCTTCGCCAAGACGCGGGAACGTAACATCGCACATGTGCTTAGAGAAAGCGTGGGACCCAAAGAACGCGAAAACAAAGTCCTTGTACTAGACGAAAATTTACGACCCTCTTCGAGTGCATGAAAAGACAGGATATTCGTAGATCTTGAAGCTTTCAAGAACCGAACGCGACTTAGTCGAAAACAACGAATTCGATACGGTCTCTAATAAATTAATCTCTACAAACATTTGAAGTGAAGCTATGTTTATTCTCTGGATTCCCAAACTTTTCCTAGCATGAAGACTCACGTCGAGTGGCTTTAACAATATAAGCTTTGTGTATTGTGCATGATTGCACGCTCAGATGGTTTAAATTTCGCTCTTAATTTATGGTCATCGATATAACAAAATACAGACGCGCTCTGTAAATATTCTCATGGCCGTGTCGCCATACTACACTGACTACGTTTCCATCGAGGGTCCAAATCGGGTCAGAGTCGGGTTAGAGT